CGTGATGGTTTAAGGAGTAATGGTGCCATAGGTTCATATATTTGAATGCTGCGCCATTAAGAAGTGGCACTACCTGATGGGAATGGGGAGATGAGGCCTTGTTGGAGTAGGTGTGGTGTGGTATTTTTGGAGGAAGTGTCTCACTGGGGTGAGCTTTGGGATTTCAGAAGCCCAAGCCAGGTCTGGTGGCTCTCTGTCTTTCTCTTCCTGCTACCTGAAAATCCACACATAGAACTCTTCAGCTCTGTTCAGCTCATGTCTGCCTCTATGCCACAAAGCTTCCTGCCATGATGACAATGGACCAAACCTCTGAGACTGTAAACAAGTCTGAATTAAATGTTTTCCTTTGTGTGAGCTGTTGTGGTCATGGTGTCTCTTCACAGCAATAGAACACTGACTAAGGACCAGAAGAAAAAGTAGAAGAATTGGACCACTGAAGCAAAGAATATGAGACATTTTTAATAATATATGAAAGAAACAATTAAAATTTTGGAAGCCATGAAAGACAAAATATTCTAAATATGTGAAAGAGAGGAACCACAGGCTAATGGCATAATCAAGATCTTCAACAAGATCAAAGAAGAAAACATAGACAGATAAAGAAAAGACTTGTACATGCAAGAACACACAAAAAGCATACAGAACACCAAACAGAAAGGACCAGGAAAAAAAAACTCCCATGCCATATTATAGCTAAAACACTAAATATACATAATAAAGAGAAATGGTTGAAAGATGCAAGAGAAAAAATTGTAAGACCTATAGAGGAAAATCCATCAGAATAACAGCTGATTTCTCAATGAAAACTTTAAAAGCCAGGGTAGTCTGGAACAATGGATGTCAAGTTCTAGAAGACCATAGATGTCAGCCCAGACTACTGCACTCAGAAAAATTGCCTGCTGCAGTTGAAAGATGAAAAAAATAAAAAAATAACTTTCCAGGACTTAACAGGAAAAAAAAAAAAATCAACCAACCAACCAAACAAAAATCAAAGTCATGTCCACAAATCAGCTCTACAGAGAAGACTTGTGGTGATAACTAAACTGAAGAGAACAAACATAGGCAAGATGATGCAGAAAGAAAACAAGTGAAGACACAGTTACTGAAATACAAAATAAGACTTAGAGCACACACACACACACACACACAAAACCTCAAAATGACAGCCTGATGTCAATTCATACCTTTCAATAATAACTCTAAATAATAACTTCCTAATCAAAAGACACAGGTTAATAGAATGGATTAAGGAAAAAAATCCGGGAGTGGAAAGATGAGATGGCTAAGCAGTTAAGAGCATTTGCTGCTCTCCCAAAAGACCAGAGTTTGGGTCCCAGCATGCATGCCAGTCAGGAGATTTACAAATCTGTGTAATTCCAACCACATGGCATCTGGTACCTGGGCCTCTGCAGGCACCTGCACTCATCTGCTTATACACAATGGGATACAGACATCATCATCAAGTTTACCTTTCTGTTTCCTACAGGTAACTCATTTTGTCTTTTTTAACATGAAAAGATGAAAAATGTATTCCTAGGAAACGGGATAAGGAAGCGAGCAGGTATTATTATCGTAATATTTGAAAAAATATATTAAATAATGTTATTGAAAACAAAGAACTCCTCTTTCTTCAATGAGCAGGTCATCTTGATAGAAGATAAACAGAAAATCCAGAATTAAATGACATTGTGCATAAAATGGACTTAACAGATATCTACAGAATATTTGACTCAAACACCAACAAATAGACATTCTACTCTGCAGTCCATGGAAACTTCTCTAAATTAGACTCCATCATGGGACACAGAAAAATTAAAATCATCCCATGTAACCTTTCTGACCACAATGCAATGAAGTTTAAAATCAATAGTAAATAAATCTCTAGCAAATACATCAACTAATGGAGATTTAACAGCACATTACTGAATAACACATGGGCCAAAGAAAAAATAAAATATTCCCAAAATGAAATAAAAACATAACAAAACCTCAGAGACATGTTAAAAGCACTCCTAAGGGGGAAATTGACAGCTCTAAGAAAAAACAGAAAGAACACAAGTAAATTACTTAATCATGAAACTCAAGAATCTGAATAAACCAAACTCAAATCCAGTAGGTAAGAAGTACTAAAAAAATCAAAGCAGATATTAATCAATAGGCTTATTGAACCTTTGTACTGTTTTGTTTCTAAAATATTTAATTTTAAGAGCTTGTTCTATGAGATTTGTTAAACATTATTGACAGACATTTGGCCCAATTAACCAAAATAAAACAAACAAAAATTGAGATCAACAGTGGAATATGAAAAAAAGCAGTGAAAATATTCAGAATATTACTGAGTGATTACTTTTAAAACCTATATTCTATTATTACTCAGCCTTTAAAAAGTAAATCATGAAATTTGAAGTTAAATGGACATAACTAGAAAAAAATCATTCTGACCCAGACCCAAAGAGACAAATCTAGTATGTATTCACTTATATGTAGATATTAGCTGTTAAGTCAATAACAATTAAGCTATAATCTGTAGAACCACAGAGGTTAGGTATAGAGTAAGGGACTATGGGCTCAGAGAGATATTTTCAAGAAAGGGAAATACAATGTTTATGGGTGGAGGCCTAGAGTGGGAGGATCAAGTAGGGAGAGAGAGGGAAAGGAGAAGGGGGAGGGGGAGAAGATGAGGGAGTATTGGCAGAAAAAGATAAAATTAAGGGACATTTGAGGGATAGTATGAAAACCTATTATGGTAGAAATAATATATATATATATATATATATATATATATATATATATATAATATTTTATATATGCAAACAATCTAAATGAAATTGCCAAATAATGCTGGGAGGAGACACAGCCCCAGGTGGCCATCTCTGGTCACCAAGTAAAGCTTCTATTAGTTTACATCTCATTGAATTGTTGGCCACAGGGGTCATATGGACATGCTAAATAATCCAGGCTCTTGCCAAGACTACAGATTGCTCTCCACTAACTGACAATAAGGCCCAATTTCTGAAGACAACAGCTATACAACTCACTGAACATGGAGAAGTTGAGGTGGTGCCTACATAGAACCTTCATCCCTATGTTCTATCATCTTTGGTACAGGAAGGTACTCTGCATGCTACTAAAGAAGAAATGTAATCACAAAGCCATTCACAAACCTTTTGATTTACAGTGCTTTTCTACCGACGAGATATGCTAGAGCAATGATGACACAAAGCCTATGGAAATAAGCAAATAATAACTGATTTGACTTTAGGCCACTCCAGGAGATGGAATCCACACTCAACACCACTTGGGTGAGACTAGATATTCCAGGGATCTGGGTAAAACCAAGTACTATTCTTTACATAAAAAAAAAAAAAGAAGAAAGATACCAATGAAATGACTCCTAATGATATTCTGCTGTACTTATAGATGAGTAACTTGCTCAGTTGTTAACAAAGAAACTTTGTTTTGCAGCAGATGGGTACAAATACAGAGACCCACAGGAAGATATTATGCAGAGATTGAGAGACCCACTCCTAAATGTGATGTCTCCATCAAACCCTTCCCCCTTGACTCAGGAAACCCTGTGGATGAGAAGGCAGAAAGAATGCAAAAGCCAAAGGAGATGGAGGACAACAGGAGAACAAGGCCCTATAAATCAACATGATCAAAGCTCCTATGAACTCACAGAGAATGAGGCAGCATGCACAGGGCCTGCACAGATCTGCAACAGGACCTTTGCATGTATAATATAGTATAGCTTCCAGTTCAGTGTTTTTATGGGATTCCTGAGTATGCAATTAAGTGGGTATCTGTTTCTTGTTCCTTTTCTTGGTCTCTTTTCCTTCTCTTTTATTTTTTCTCATTGTGTTTTTCATATTTAATCTTATGATATTTTATTTTTTAAAAACCTTCATAAGTTTTTTTAAACAAAGGTGGAAAATCTAAAAGAAAAGGATGAATTTCCAGGCTCTTCAAACCACCAAAGTTCAACCAAGAAGAGCTCTTCAATTTAAATAGAATCATAACAGATAATAAAGAGAACAGAACAGTAATAAAATGCCTTCCAGGTTAAGAAAAATCATTCCCAGACCAAGATGGATCCAGAGCAGAATCCTACCAGACTTTCAAAGAAAATATAAAAGAAGTATTTCTTAAATCATGCAAAGATTAGAAACTATACTTCTAAAGTTCTGCATTATTCTAATCTCAAAACGAGGTAAAGGCACAAGGAATAAAACTACAGCACAACATTCCCAATGAGCACAGATGGCAAAGCTCTAAAACAAACCCTATTTTCATGCCAAATTCAGCATTTATCAAAAAGATTACCCACCATGATTAAGCTCTCTTTATCCTGGATGTATAGGGGAGGCTGAGCATATATAAATCAACAAATGTAAGAAATAAAAAAAATGTCTAAACATTTTAACATGATCATCTCAATTAATGCAGAAAATGCCTTTGACACAGGTCCTAGAATAGTAAGTCTGCAGGGAATGGATCTCAGAATAAAAAGGCTATACTTGACATAACCAACAGCCAACATCATCCTAAATGATGGATCCAATGTTGGACACCAGGACTTGAACACTAAATCATGCATAATGTCTCATGTACTCCACAGTTCAAAGGGAAAGCCAGACATTAGTTATGTCACAGCTAAGTCACTGTTACAGACAGCTAGAAACAGCTAGACAGCTAGAAACCTGAGTGCAAAAGATGGCAGTGTCCCCAAACCTATGCTAACAGAATCAGGAGGCCTCTTTGAAGAGGGTCAATCCCATTAAGACAGGAGTGATGTCTTTCATTCAGGAAATAGGCTTGGGAAGAGACCTAGCTGCTCTGACAGGGAATTAAACATGAGTGGTGTATAGTGAAACTTCACTGTGTAGAATCAGAGAGAACAGAAAGTCATATGATCTGCCCATGTTCAGTAACAATTCAACTCTACTCCAACAACTCATGAGTGACAATGTCATACTAACAGGATGTTAGTATGTCCTTACCCCAATTGTTCCGAAGCTTTCTGGCTTTCTTCTCATCTTTTTCTTACACAGATGTGTCCATATCCACTTGACCAGGTACCACAGGGATTTAGGACTTGGGATGACATTGAAAGGTGTGGGGAGAGTGCCTCCTTCTTCAAAGTAGCTCATCCAAAGCTTTGTTCGAGCAAATTTCCATTCTATATCTGCATGGTCCTGAACAAGAGAACATGACAACTTCAGATAGGTTCTCTAATTAACAAGGAAACATAACTCTCACAGACAGAGCCTGAATCGGACACAGTGTGGTTGTTGGAGCATTAATTATATGGCTTATAAAAACACCACTAACTCCCAGAGACAGAGGCTTACCCTGTACAGACTCACATCACTGTCACTTTGTTCATCCTTCCTTCTTCAGGGAACCAGAGATCTACTGTGGTGTGTTGAAGAGACTGTGGTGATTAGTTCTGACTGAGAAGCAATGCTACGGTTCTGGCCCTGAAGACTGCATTGCTTAGTTTCATTAGGTGCTAGCTAGAGGCATGGCTTTGCATCTTAGCCCAGGCCTCGCACACTGCTCAGATGAATGTCACTTGCATAGATGCTCACAGATGAGCTTTGGTGCTGCAGGGAATGTCCGAGTGGATACGTTTCCACACGGGTGATTTTCTCTTACCTTCAGATAATAGAGGCAAATTTATAGAGAAATTTCTCCAACACACAATGCAGCATAGTGCCTACATCACAGCACTGAGTCTTGGTGCAACTGCACAGGAGCTATTACTCAGGACATTTGCACCCTAGGATAGTGGCCAAACATCATCTGCTGGTCCAGCACAATGCCTCATAAACCATTGCTCAGTTCAAGTTACACACCTCAAGAAAACCTGGAACCATGGAAGGACATTCACAGCATTCTCTACTCTCTCTTCCTAATATTGAAATTATGCACTACTTTCTTTTGTCCTGATATATGTTTTGAGACAAGGGCCTTTTAAGAAATCAAGTATATGACTGATATACAGTACACATAGGAAATTTTTGAGCAATGAAAAGTACTAGAAGGCTTTAGCTATGGCTTGTGTTATTGATTCAGCTCAGCAACTGAGGTGTGTGTGGCAGGAGTCAAAAAGAGATCTCTGAGTCTTGAGATTCTGGGAGATACAAGAGTTAGATGCTCGACATGAAAACATCCCAAGGAGCTTCATCACAGGACATTAAGGGGTCACTGCCTCTGTCCTGATGCCTGTCTGTCTTACAACAGTTTCAACATTTGGTCTAAATAAAAAAGGGAGATTTGAGGATTGCTTTCCTTCCATTGCCTAGAAAAACAAGATCCACCAAAAAGTGGTGAGACAGTGTCATGTTACTCTTATGTAATGTTTTCCTCTGGACAAAGCTGGGGCATCTAATATTTCACAGGACCCAAAATGTTGGCAGTGTCTGTCCTTAGCTTGGTGGTGATCATTCTGTTTTGTTTTGTTTGTTTTCTGTTACTCTGGATATATGTAGAGTCTATCCATAAAAACCTTAGGGTCTGGGATGCTGCCTGATGTTCTGTATAACCACAAATTCTGATACTTTTTGCCAGATTGGTAGAGCCAGAGGACTTTTTACACATAGTCTAAGAACCAGTAACACAAATGCTGTATTCTATTGTCTTGCTCAACTTTTCTTCAGTGATGGGAATGAGAAAACTTTACCTCTGCAAAGAAAATTGAACTAAAATTAAGAGTGTTGTTTGACAAATATCATTCTAGTAGTTCAAAAGGTCTGCTATAGATTCAAGGATGTGACATAACTGCTATTATGTGTGACAAATGGACAAACTGTCATATAGACTGCATACTAAGCTGTGATTAGGAAAGACTTCACATGCATGTTTTGTGCCATGGTAAGTTTTAGTTTGTTACTATAGCTATTTCCTATAGACTTGAACCACTAATTTGTTACTATAGCTGTTTTCCGTAGACTTAGACCACTAATTTGTAAGTTCAGGTGGATAAAGTATTTCATCTCAGTTACTGTACTGTTTCTGTAACAGTCCTTGTTAAGAAAACAAGTATTTACTCATCCATAATCACTCAGTTGATAAGACATTTGTTTGTTTATTTATGCTTTTTGACACAAGGTCACATGTTTTAGTTCAGGATGTTCTGGAAGTTACTATGTAGCTCAGGCTAGCTTTGAATACAGTTGGTCTGTCTCAGCCTTCCAACTGCTGGAATTACAGATGTAAGCAACATGCCTAGGCAAAAGTTTTGAGTAAATAAATGATTTTTTTTGCAAGCCAGAATTTAAATAATATATGTTATACTATGTATTTGTCTCCAGAGAATTCAAGATCATTTCCATATTTGTTGCTTTTACTAGGCTTTCAAAAAATTTTATTTCATGTGTATGGATATTTTGCCTACATGTCTATGTGTGAACCACATGTGTGCTTTGTGCCAGCTGAGGCCAGAAGAAGGCATTGGATCCCCTGAGACTGTAATAGAGACTGCAGATAGCTCCATGTGGGTGATGGCAATTCAACCTGGGACCTCTAGAAGAGCAGTGAGTGTTCTTAACTGTTGGACCTTATCTCTCTAGCTCCTGCTTTTTCTCAGCTTTAAGAAACCGAACATTTATGGCTTTCCCTTTACCAGATTCATCTCTTGTATTTCCTGTCAACTTTCCAGCCTGGCATGAATTTGTTTATGCTGAGTTAGCAAGTCAGAGGAACAGAGGAGATGACCACAGAGCCTGATGGTCTCCTTAGAAGTGAGCAACCTCTTTCTAAACTGTTTCATGGCAATGGCTCCCTGGCAATATAGGCTGATTTAATTTTCCATGTTACTCTGTGTATAAAATAGAACAATATGCAGTTACTTATGCTACACTGCTGTTTTTAGACATCACCAGTTAAGCATTTACTATTCTGATCTCTCTTATCAACAGCAAATTATTGACTTTATTCACTATGATGATAAGATAGAATACAGCTAAGAACAACTCTATGCTGATAGGATATTGAATTAAAAGCATAGCTATCAACTTACAGCAATTAGTTGGTAAGAATTATTCATCATAGCAATTAACATGTTCAATAGGACGACCAAGGAGATGACATTGTATGTCCCAAACATGGTAGCGCCAACAAACTCGGTGAACTCATGCTGGGCTTTGACATTGGTAACATATAAATTGATGAGTCCAAATATTGACCAAAACAGGGATTGTAGAGTTTCAAATAACCTGGAATAAAACAAGAAAGTAATAATGTTATCTTACTTTCCGTGTGTACATGTATTGGCTACTGATTTCAAGCAAAATTACAAAATTAAACTTAATAAAATAATTTAAAATACTTTTTTATCAAACTGATACCAAAATTATACTTGTTTTTCTTATTTGTTTTATTCTAAAAAGAACATTGAAAGCCTCATTTTGTTTGTTTGAGCAAGTGGGTAAAGGAGGATTCAGACCCTGGAAAAACATGATTTTTGGGTTAGGAATACTTTTTAATTTCTCAAGTAGTTGAGGAAAAATAAAAGGATCACAATATAATATGTATGATACATGTAAGTTATGTATATTAACATCTGTAAAGTTTATATCTTAACATCTGTAAATCAAACTTTATGAGACATAGTCACCCTTTTCTATTTTTTGAATTGTCTATGGTTTATTTTGCACTGGTCATGTCTAAAATATTTACTATTTGTTCCCACTCATAGAAAGCTTGTTGTTTTCTGCCTGCCTCAAAATCTACAGGATAGTTACTCCTAAACCTACTCCACAAAAGCCAGGCATGCCTGTCTCTGCTTTACTTTTACTTTCAGAAAGATTAAAACAAACAAACAAAAAAACAAATGGCTTTGTTTCTGTTTTTTTAGATTTTTTGCCTTTTTAATTGGACCTGAACATAGCATACTGCTTCAGAAAGCAGATTGTCTTAGAATGCTTAGACACTACAATTTCCTTTTGAATTTCAAGGCCCATTTTACACTCTCAAGGTAATTGTGTTGAAAAGCTGCCTCTAGAGGATGAAATTTAATTTTATTTACATTGTGTAACAGTTAAATGCTGTGACTGATGACTGTAACAAACGTGCTGTTTTGACCAAATGTAGTGAGAATGAAAGCTGTTGTATGATGTGAGAAGATGAAGATTTGGTCACATGGGAGAGCCCAGTGGGGTCTCTGAACTGTCAGGAAGGCTAAATGAATTCATTGACTCTGGAAAAGTTCATAAAAATGTTTTAGTTTACTTCAAGATTCTAATGCCTTAAGTTTTAGTAATCGTTAGTATTCAGGCCTCTGTACTGGCCTGTCGTTGGGGTTCTGACAGGATATGCCCTCAGCTGCAGCCACTAAGAGCACCACCTCTGCTCTTTTAAAAGGGCTCTGTCCACCTCCCATCCTCCTCCCCTCTTTCTTTCCCTCCCTCTGTCTGTCCCCAGAGGCCAGTCTTTCCTCCCTCCCCTTTTTATGACCTCTTTAAAAAAAAAAGAAAAAACTACTCTGCTTGAATCCTGTACCATGGTGTCTTTCTCTGGAGCACCACTTTTCTTAAATTACAACATTAACTCTTAGGCATCTTCTGGATTTAATGTGTTTTAACTGTGTCCTTTCTTTCTCAACTATGATGACTCTTAATAGGAACATATAAATGTAATTCACATGGGTTTGTCTTGAAATGAGTGAGGAGTGAGCAAATCAGGAAAAGTCTTACATGGTGTAGCTGAGATTTGATTCAGTGGATCAAACCCTTTCTGTGTAAGCCATGGTCTAGAGTCTGAGTCCCTGGCACCCACACAAAAGCTGGGCAGGTGTGGCTTTTGCCCATAATCCCAGTCTTTAGGAGGTGGAGACCGGATTCTTGGGGCTGGCAGACATATTAGTAAACCAGCACACTGTGGGATCAGTAAGAGATTCCCTCTCCCCAACTTGATGAAGCAGAGAATGGTGGAGGAAGGCATAAGACTTCAACTTCTGCCCCCCAAATGCACATGTATACCTTGTACCCCCATACAAACATACATGCACATAATCATACATACGAACACACAGACACACAACACAAGAAAGGAAAGGAAAAGTTACATATTGCTTCACACGCATTATAAAATACTAACAAATAAATGATGTTACAAGTGCCTTTTCATTAGTGTTGCTTTCTCAAGCATTCTAATAAAAGCAGCCATGCAAATTAAAGGACTGCAATGGTTGAAAGCTCCCATTTGCTTCGGCCTAAAATATCTCATGTTTCAAAGAATGCTCATTAATCATTTTAGCAAATATTTTCAGACATTTAAAAATTAAGATTTAGCATAAGAAAATGCACAATGACATTTTGTGATTAACTGGAGAGTTTTCTTTTGGTGGAGCAAATCAGTGGTGAAATTTATAAGGCTAAGCTAAAATATAGTTGCTTCTCGTGTGAACTAAGTACCTGGTATTCAGGTATCCCTCAATGAGTTGTTTCTTCATTTGACTGTTATGTAGGTTAATATTTCAATGCCATTGCTTCCAAGAATATTATTGGTTCTCAAGTCCATTGAGACTCACACTGTCCATAAATTTAGGATTCATTAGATGGATCACATCTCAGAAGGCCTTTGAGTAGCTGATATTTTCCACATTGTGTGAGTGAAAACAAGTGATTCTTTTTTAAAGTAAATGCTTATTAATTTCCCCAGGTAATGCCACAACCTAGTTAACTCACATGACACAATATCTGTGTTGATGTCTAAAATGAAGACCCACTTTATATGAGTCAAAGATTTGCTTTTATGAAAGTAACATTTTAATTATTGCAATATCAATGTATTTTTCAGCTGTAGTTTTTGAATGATCCTGTTCCTTCTTGGCTAAATATTTACAGCTAAAAACATGGAATAATCGAAGGAATGTGTTCTGATGTTGAGATTTCAGTTTGTCCTATAAGACTAAAATGATGAACAAACAAAATCATGGCAAGACAAAACTCAACATTTATGTTTGTTTTCCACCCAAAAGGTCATATTAAAATATGTACAGTATGACCTCAATTGGCCAGTCTAAGACATTATCAACTGAGCTCCAATACACACAAATGAGCTTTGCCTAATCAGACAATGTCCTAAGGCTCATGGCCCCCACTTCATGCCCTCTGTTAGGCAGTTAGCTAAACTTCTGAATAGAATTATTTCAGTCACCAAAAAGTTGGGAGTCTTTTAAGGTTGAAAAGTTTTTCATATGTCAATGAGAAAACTACAAAATATGAAAGGAACTGGGAGATGCATTAATTTGCTTTTGGAAAAAGGCAGACTTAGCAGACAGACTCATATTATGTAACATTACTTTAACTAGGCAAAGATTTGTTACATTTTCTTATGCTGTGGAATATTACTTTAACTGTGTAAAGGTGTGTTACATTTGCTTATGCTACAATTGTTTAATTAAGTAAAGATGTTTTGCATTTATTTCACCTTGTCTGCCTAATATTTCACCTTGTCTGCCTAAAGCACCTGATTGGTCTAATAAAGAACTAAACATCCAATAGCCAGGCAGAGAGGGGGACTGGCAGGCAAAGGTAATAAACAGGAGGAGAAAACTAGAAGAAGATGGGAAAGAACAAAGGAGAAAGAGAGGAAGATAGTCAGGCTCAGCGAGGCAGCTGCCAACCAGCAGACACAAAGAAGGACAAACAGAAGGAAAGGTTAAAAAGCCCCAAGGCAAAACTTAGATGAAGAGAATCAGGTTAAGTTATAAGAGCCAGCAAGAAATGAGCATAACCTAAGGCTGAACATTCATAACTAATAATACATCTCCATGTCATGATTTGGGAAGTGGTTGCGTGACCCCAAAGAAAAAGCCTGGTACAAACCCAAGCCATAGTCTGTACTCACTAAGAGCCCACAGCATCAGGAGATGTGTACTGGAAAAAGTATATCTGAGAATAATAAAAGATTGAGAAGTGTAAAGGCAAAGTAAGGGGCAATGGACTAGAAAATAAAAGAATATATTGGAGATTCACAATCAGTTTTTCAGGAGAGAGTAAAACAATGGTAAGAACTTGACAAAAATTGGAAAAAGAAGCAAAGTCCAGACTGTCATTGAAGGACTGAGAAGGTCCAGCAAAGTTAGGGGTGAATCTGGGAAGAGGTAGGAAATCACTGGGAACTTTAGATGGTGGGGCCTGTAATCTTGGTCTAGAAGGCTCTTTCCCAAGAAGGATGTAGACAGACAGATGGGCAGACAGACAACAGAACAGACTCACTGTCCAGAGGAAGTCAACTTGGGCCTGGGTAGTGAGTAAGGGAAGATATTGACAAGATAATGGTGCTGAGAGAGAGAAAGACATGTAGAATGAAGAGGGGAGAAAGCACAATGCCAAACCCAAGTTTTCATTTCACTGCGTGGCTAAGAGAGTTAGGAATGAGGAAGGGGAAGTCTGGAAAGAGACCAGTGAGCTCTCCGTGATGGAAGCTTTCCTTTGGGAGTCATACTGAGTATGCTATAAGGTTATTACTGTCCACTAGAACCATTGATTAATTACAATGCCCTACATTGCACACAGGTGCTAAACGAAGAATGACTGAAAGGTGAACAAAGATGTTTATACTGGATGACATTGATGAAAAGAAGGAGACAAGAGCAGGTCCCATTATCAGACAGACAACTGCAGTACAGGAGGGAGGGGTAACAAGTTAATGAAATAAAAAGAAATGACACTCTACCAAAAATAATACCATTCAGGATTTGCTACTGCCTTTGAGGACCTGAGATGCTAGCATAGGCAGTGCATTGGGCATTTTCTATGAATTGATTTTAATGCCATTTGGATATAATCTCTGAAGCAAACCTGAAAATGAAAGAAAGAAGCTATGAAGTGTAGATAACAAGAGACACCAAGTGTTGCCATATGTCCCTTTTAGGATGACAGACATCTGTTACATCAAAGCAGAGTCAGCTAGGGATAAGCTTAAGCCTAACACAGCCTATTTAAAAATATTCAGGGTTAGTTGTATCATTTAGCTTTTAATATCATTGAGAAAAACATAATTGCCATTTGCAGGAAAAATAATTTAGATGAAACATCTGATCATTGGGGAAGGGTATCAAATTATTTAGTCCTGTAATATCTGAGATATGTAATTATCCATTGCCTTTCCAGGCATAAAAAAAATCATGAGCACAAGGAAATTAAAAAAAAAAAAACATACTTAAGTTGAAACAATCTAACATTTAATTTTGGACTAAATCTATGTCAGAAATTTACATTGGATATAACCATAATGTTTTTGGTCTGATATTAAAATTAATTTCTTACTAATAAACCAACATTAGTTACAGGGGGATGACTGGGAATTTAGGTTACCATAAACAAGGATAGTATGACAGTAGACTTGTTTCTGGGGGAGAGTTGGGGGGGCCAGGCAGGTAAGAAGGGTTGGGTTTTGAGCAAGATGTTGTCCATTAAATTGAAATGGATGAGGGAAGTAGGGACTCCATTGTAGGTTCTGTGTAGGTGTTCCTTCAGGAACACAGCACATAGGAAGGACTTAGCAACATACACAGGAGGAGGAAATAGCTTGTAAAGGGACATCATTAGAACGCAGCAAAGGTTTTAGGAGATGGGGCTTAGGACAGTGCTCTCTACCATAAAGCCACATAGACAATCAGCCACCAGACAGTATCCAGGAAGATTCTGAGAGGCACAGAAGGAGGGTGCTAGGATCTGGTTCTTGTGAATCTCTTGTCCTCATTGTCTTGGGCTAATTAACAAGGAAAAGAACCCACACACATGGCCAGGAAATAAGTTCAGCCATGTAAGGTCCTAGCAAGCAAGAATGTCACCAAAGGAGTTTCCACCACCTCCCTGAAACCCAAGGACAGAAGACAGCTGAGGAGGAGGCCAAACTGTCTGGGCCAAGGAGTCGACCTAAGAATGATAGAAATGAGACATGCGAATCAGGATCACATGGTTTCTTACAACTGCTGGTTTGTATCAAATTTAAAAGGGTGAGATTAAAATTTTCTGAGCGGGAAAGCAGATGTTGGTTAATTAAAGTGGAGTTTGAAATATCAGGATAAAAGCAAACAGATGCAGGATTAAACCAACTAGAATGTTTTAGCTAGGAGTGATTTAGGTTATGTGAAATACCTTCTAGTTGGAAAATTGCTGTTTCTTTTGCAGTATGAGGATCCATGAAAAAGGCTGGTTATTCAAGTTACAAAACAGGCATGTGTCCAAGTGGGGTTGCTTCTTAACCTGATAACCTTTGTTTCTCTCAGTGACCAGGAAATGGACACAGGTAGAAAAGCCTGTGAGATGATGGCATAGCACATGAGTCTCTCACGAGTGTGGGTTGCCATCAGTTCTGCTTATGAGAGTCACAAGAAGTGGACAGTGGCTATGTGCAATTGCTCGTCCTCATTTAAGCTAACAGGAAATGTTACCTAGGTAATAATGGGGAGATGTGAGTGTCCATTTTGGGCAATATTTGTATGCTTATGTTTTTGTATACCACACTAAAAGTCAAAAGAAAGATATGAAGGGCCATGTGGAAATGCAGCAAAACACTTGGATTTTACAACAAGATTGCATACTTATAAGACGTCAATAATACATAGGCTTCCTTTTTGAATTCTGCATTTTCAGACAGGATATATAGGCTTTCCTTTTCACAAGGTCATTTAAAAGAAAAGACCATTACTAAAACTTAAAATAAATGTACCCGGTAGTTTTTTTCTTAACGCCAGACTACATTTTTTTTTCAACGTCATGTTAATTCCACTTCCTGCATTATTCATAGCTTTAATTCTCCATTTCCTTTGCAACCATGGGGTGGATTTTTCAAATTTGAGAAGGCATATAATCTTAACTCCTCCCAGTGTTACCAAGAGCAATGCCTCTCCAACTTACGTGGAAAATGCATTATTCTGTTTCTCACAGCGTATGCCTTTGCAGCTTAACCCCTTTGTTTCTTCATAGTAGAAGTACAGTTGATTTAGGCCATTTGCAAATGCTAGCAGCACGAGGCAGTATATGAATAGGAATTTTAGGATGTCCAGAAGCATTCTTCCTAGAGATATCTGCAGAGGTCCCAGATGAGAATTTGCAGTGAACAGTGATATCAGGCGCAGGGAGCTGAAGATGTTTGCAATGGCAAATAAAGCCTCTGCCACCAGGGTGGGGTGCCACATGTCCCATGATTCCCGTGGGTTCAGAGCACTGTACTGGAGAAACAGAAATGAAGGGGAAGTAAACATACATGCTGAAAGATTCAAGTTCAGTTATGTGGTGCTTTCATGGGTCCACCTCAGCCACTCTTTAGAAGGTATTCATCCTTTATGATGGCAGTAGCTAGAACAGTGGTTCTCAACCTGTGGGTCACATCCCTTTTGGAGATTGAATGACCCTTTCACAGTGTCATTTAAGACCATCAAAAAACATGGGTATTTACATTATGATTCACAACAGTATCAAAATTACAGTTGTGAAGTAGCAATTAAAATAATTTTATGGGTGGGGGTTACCACAACATGAGGAGCTACATTAAAGATTCACAGCATTAGGAAGGTTAAGAACCACTGACCTAGGGTAAGCTATACAAGACAGAAATTCATTAATTTATAATTCATGAGCTTTAATTTACATGGCTGTACAAGTATGTCCTTATTTTTTAACTTATGTCCATGTGTTAAATTTTTCACATGCTGATCAATTAGTTTTTGACTGCTATGTTGTATTTTAAAATCTTGCAAAGAACAGAACTCCTCAAATTATTCAACTGACTAGATTCAACTTTTAGACTCTTGCTTGGGTGGCAGACATTATAAACCAATGAAGTCTGAACAAGAATGATTATTGTTTAAAATCCTAGTCAGTGCTCTTGAGTCACAACTATATACAGTATGAAAGAGGAAGTAAATTTTTGATAATGATGAAATGTGCAACACTCTACACTGTGTACAGAGTCCTTAAGGGATATATTTTTGTCCATAACATAGTTATAGACTAGGACATAAATACATAACAGAAACACTTATGGACATTAGCACAAAGTATTGTGAGGACAGGGGAGAAGAGGTTAGAAGTGGATAGAGTCTCAATGTTGTCAAGGCTTTTAGGGGCCCAATATAGAGGAGAGGCTATGCCTTATTAACAGTTTTGCAGCAGTTGGAGGCAACCTGATGTAGAAGCCATAATGGCATTGTTACAGAGTGTATTTATACTAAGCACCCGATGTACACAGAACCCTTCTGAGTGCATGATCTTGGCTTATGACCAAAGGAATCATAAGGGGAAATCTAAAGAAAGAAACATTAGCTCTGTCCTAATATAAGCATCTATGCTGGATTCAGAGCCCAGTGGGGCTGTACCTGTTAGGATGTGATGCTTTATAGACAGCAACATTCTACATACAGTTAGGGCTTTTGAGCAATCATTGCTGCTCTTTGGGTTTAATAGTGTTGCATAGGCAAACTACTGTTAAAAGTTACAAAGGTTCCCAAGGGACTCACAAATATCCTCCCTGGAGCCATAGGCTCCCATTCCCTGGATAATAAACACAGAGACCTTGTTCTCCAGAGAATATTTATTTACTTAAGAACATTAAAGTCTTTCTCTCTGCAGGGGAAAAAATGGACAGCTAGTTCAGCTGCATCCTGTAAATTCTGAGATGTATACTTTCCAATTTCCTTTCCTGTGGTATAAACCCCTTGTGCATTGGGCACATCTGGCTCTCACCACACACACACCCACTGAGAATTAAAACATGAGGACTGATGCTCAGGTAACAGTGCAAATTAATAATTCATCCATTTTCTGATGCAGACATCTTGGTTCCTATCGGAGAATAGAGACATAGAGTGAGTCCTTGGTGCTTTGGTTCATTCTTTTTGGCTGTGCTTTAAACCTGCACAAATCATTTTCTTAGGCTTCTCAGAGGCCACTGGGCCAGGCATAGCAGTGCACACCTGTAATCCCAGCACCTAAGTCTCACAAGAAGATTGTGAGTTGGAGGGCAGCATAATTTATATGATGAGTTCAAAGTTAGCCTGTGCTGCACACTGAGATAAAGTAAATAAGCCATTGTTTGAAGAAGCAATTAAAAAGCTTTGCAAACCACAATGTTCTTTAAATCTATAGAGAAAAAAGTGTTTGGCTACTACGCATATTTTCTAAACCTATTTTTGGATGTTAATTTGGAAATTTGACTCTGGTCCCAGCTCCTCTTCCTAGTCCACCTTCATCCCCTTGGGTCTCAGCTTCACAGGGATGTGGTTGCAGAGTCTGCCTTGTTCTGCATTGCTGCCCAACTCAGCCACTCCTATGGTCTCACCTCCAGTCTTTTTGTGACTCCCCAACAAGCTGAAGGGACCCTATAGCCATTACATTTGACTGGGGCTCAGGGAGGCTGCTCCTATTTTTGCTCACCTGTTCTTTCTAGGGAACCCATAATCCAGCCTCCTCACAATAGCCTACATCCCCTTCAGACAAGCTGCCATTCCTGGGTACCTCTAATTCTGCCTCCATCTCCCTTAGTGGAGGTGGACCTGTGATAGTTTGAATGAGGATGGCTCTCATAGGCTCATAAATTTGAAAATTTGAATCAGGAAAGGAATAGGAGATATAGCCTTGTTGGAGAAAGTGTGTCACTGGGGCTGAACTTTACAGTTTCAAAAGCCCAAGCCAGGCCCAGAGTCTCCTTCTCTCAGCCAGTCAGCCAGCACAAGATGCAGCACTCAGATACTTCTCCCCAACAGCATTTCTGCCTGTGTTCCACCATGCTTTTTTTCCCATGACAATGAAGGACTAAAACTGTAAAACTTGTTCATATCTGAAACTGAGTTACTGCAGTCATGGTATCTCTTCACAGCAATAGGATATTGACTAAGACAGGACCCAAGTCACATAAGTAACCTTAAGAGTCAGTTCCTCTCCTCTAGCATACCACCAACCCTACCCACTGCATCATCCATTGCACCAATATGTATGTTTGGAGTCTAACAAGAAGTTCAAATCTTAGAACAATCAGTCTGAATCCTAAGACACAGAATGGCCATAATACTGAAAAGCAAGCATTATTCTTCTGTGTAACCACCTTTCAAAGTGGGGTAATAGCAGCCAAAGATCTGAACACACACCCAACAAAGGTAAGACCACATAGCTATACCTAGAAACACCACAAATGCTGTAACAAAAGGTGTCTAGTTCCCAGCACAAAAATACAGCCATCAACAGTCAAGACATTGTACTCCCACCAGAAGCCAGCACTCAAATTGCAGCATTCCTCAAGAAAATTGGTTTAGCTGATTCACAAGACAAACACTTCAAAATAGCAGTTATGAGTATTCTAATAATCTGAAAAAGGATATGAAAAAATGCCTCAATGAAGACTGAAACTACAGGTGAATGAAATAATGAAAACAATTCAAGGTATGAGAAAAATTTAACAAAGAAATAGAAACATCAAGGAAAACATAAACTGAAATTTGAAAATTTTATTTTTCTTTTGCTCAGTTATTAAAAAAAACTGTCATATGTTTCTATTATAGGAATCTACAACTGGCCAAAATGTAGAGAACAGCCGACTGTGGGTGCCAAACATTAGGTGATATATCTACGATGCAACGCCTATACCTAAGGCTCAAATAACATCTTGGAAGAGGGAGCAGAAGGATTGTAAGGCCAGAAGACAGGACACCTTCTGTGAGACAGTGTCTTCTATACATGACAGGGAAGCTACAGCCATGAAATATCAATAATATGGTCACCTAAACAAGACAACACCAGCTGACCTACAATGTGGATGGAGGAAATCTCACAAGGCCCTGCTCCTAGATGAAGAGATATAGGCAATGAATGACTGTTGATACCGGGATAATCTGTCTGCTGCTGATACAGCGATAATGTCTTCCCTAGGAAGGAGCCCCCAATAGGTTATCCAATCTCAAGTGCTCATCCCTAATACATGTACATATGCGCAACACCAAATGGACTCATCAGGTGTGTGTGTGTGTGTGTGTGTGTGTGTGTGTGTATACTAAAATAAAGACTAGGTCATAGGTCATGAGTTAGAGAGAGAGAGAGAGAGAGAGAGAGAGAGAGAGACAGAGAGAGACAGAGAGAGACAGAGAGAGGGAGGGAGTATTGGGGGGACATAGGAGGAGTTGGAGTTTTTCCTGAAGGTACTCACTTATGTTGGAAGGAGAAACCACCATGTCACAGATTTATATGACAATGAAACAGACAGACACAAATCAAGAAATGCCCATTGCTACCCCAGAAGGAGATAAGTGAACATTAGTATCCCAAAGGCCCAAGATGATAGCACAGTGTTATAGAATAATATGTGAGGGAGAGAATAGCAGGTGTTCTAAACACCTACCTTTCCGTAACCATCATGTACATCATTTCCCCACCCCATCAAGTCATTGTGATGCAATTTTGCCTAAAGTCACCATTTCTGCTGAGATTAACCTTTCTAAGAGAAATTCTCTTTTTTTTTTTTTTTTTTTTTTTTTTTTTTTGTAGACATACTTAGCCATGTGTTGTTAGGATCCTCATGTCTCCTGAATGGAGCATGTCTTCTGACATTCTTTACTTTTGAAGCTCTATAATCACGAGAAGAATCATACATGTTTAAAGATGGAAGATACAGAAGGTGAATCATTTGTAGAAATGTGAGCTTCTGGATATAGTTGGTTTAGGAACAGTGAGAGTAGCCTGAATAGATTGGACCAAGTCATGAAGACCTTGGCAGGAGTGTTAAGAGCTGATGATGGAGTGAATCATAATATTGGATCATACATTCCCAGACTATAGGAAAATATGCTACTTCATCTTCATGCCCTTTATAAGCTGGTGCATATTCATAAAAGTCAAACTGTCAATCAAACCAAGTTAAACTTTTAGATGGATGTATTATGAAAATGTCTGTTGCCATAGTCAGAACTAGAATATCTTCCTAAGGCTCATTTGCTAAAGTCATAACCTCCAGCTTGGTGCTCATGGGACAGATGGTAAAAACCTTTTGGAGGTTGTATCACTTAGAGAGATGCCTTTTGAGGGCATTATCAGAGCCTCCTCTCTTCCTCATTTCTCTTTGTCCCACTTATAGATGGCTAGTTTTCTCTGTCATGTATTTCCTAACATATTACAGAAATGCCAAGTGAACACGAACAACCACCTTCAATATGTGAACCAAAGAAGACCTTTTCTATTTATAAGT